GTAAGCAGCGGGGTACCACAAGCTTCCATCTTAGGCCCAGTACTCTTCAATTTCTTCATAAATGAATTAGATGAGGTAATTGAAGGGGAACTCATCAGATCTGCAGATGACACCAAACTGACAGGAGTAGCCAACACCCCAGAAGACAAACTCAGGATCTAAAAAGATCTTGACAAACTTGAACAATGGGCCCTATCCAACAAAGTAAGTTTCAATGTGGAGAAAAGCAATCACAGGAAAAAGCAAAGGTACAAGTACAGATTGGGTGAGACATGGCTCAAAAACAGTAACTGTGAGAGAGACCTTGGAGTCCTAATGGACAATCACTTGACTATGAGCCAGCAATGTGCAGTAGCAACCAAAAAAGCTAATACAATCCTGGGTTGTATATAGAGGCATAGAATCAAGATCACGTAAGGTATTAGTACAGCTTTATAAAACCTTAATAAGACCACACCTGGAATACATTAGCCAATTTTGGTCACCATATCACAAAAAAGATGTTGAGAGTTTGGAAAAAATTCAAAGAGCAACTAAGATGATCAAAGGCCTGGAGACTAAAACATATAAAGAACAGCTGTGGGACTTGGGTTTGGCTAAAGAAAAGAGTAGGGGAGACATGATAGCAGTATTCCAGTATTTGAGGGGCTGCCACAAAGAAGAGGGGGTCACATTATTCACCAAAGCACCAGAGGGAAGGATGAGAAATAAACTGATCAAAGAGAGAAGCAACCTGTAATTAAGGAGAAACTTCCTAACAGCGAGGACAATTAACCAAGGGAACAGCTTGCCTTCAGAAATCATGTGTGCTCCATCACTGGAGATTTTTAAGAAGAGACAAGACAGCCACTTATCTGAGATGGTATAGGTTCTCCTGTTTAAGCAGGGGGCTGGACTAGAAGACCTCCAAGGTCTTTTCCAACTCTATTTTATTCTATTTAGTACAGCAAAGTCATGATCAAGTATGGAAGCCAGTTAACTTTTTTCCTATCCTTGAAGTTACTATTGAATCTTCATATAAACAAAGAGTTCATTTTGGGCACATATTTACAGTATGCTATAAGGTGGATTTGGCAATTCCTCGAACATTGTTAGTGCCATGGCAGCCCAAAAATACTAGAGGTGAGGTTTTATAAAAGGAAGGGTTCCCTTGGAATTTAAAACTGCTCTAGAGGACAGCTTTCCAGTGTCGGCTCATTTGTACCCTTCTGAAATGCACATTCTGTGCACATGAATGCTATTCACAATAAATGCAATGAACAATTTTTGATATGTGGAGCCTTATTTTGCCAATCTTTATTTTCACATGCTGGAATACTGCGTGTGTTATTCTCATATTGAGGCAGTCTTATCAGAGAACTAATTATATTAGATTTTTTTGTTCATTTTTATTACCTTATAAAATAACTTAAAGCCACAAACACACCTAACACTTTCTCCTCCTATTTTCCCCACAAAAACCACTCTGTGTATTGGATTGAGAGTGAGTGACTGGTGAATCACCCAACCAGCTTTCAGGGTTAAGGCAGGAGTAGAACTTAACAATCTTCTGGTTTCTAGCCTGTTTAACTGTATACAATCAACATTTCGTATGATACATGCATACATAACCAGCATTTAAGAATATTATCTCTTCAGTTGTCCATTAATTTATGCTATTAAAAGGGTCTTTTGTTTTAAGGTGTTTCAAGGGATCAAAATCAAAACAAATATCCCTGGCTGCTTTTGGAGCTGAGCTTAAGGTCTGAATTGCCAACATACAAGCTTCTGCAGTATTGTTTGAGCTAGTAGACATGTTTTGGAATGTATGCATGTAGACTTCTTTCCTGATTTTAAAAAAGTACATTCTTAATACTAAAGGGCCAGATTGTTTCAACAAGAATCAAAAAGAACTTCAGTCGTTTTTTTTTTTTTCAGTAGCAGCCTCAGGTTGTTAAATGAGTTGCTTTTCTGATTATGTGACTATTACTACAGATCATCTCTCTCAAAACATTTTATAATCTGATCAAACCTGAAGTACATTTTAAATTGCTAGCTTTTTCTTTTCATTTTTTAAAACTATGATTAATATTTCTGAACCACATTTCAAATTTCAGCGATTTGTGATATTATTAACTGCATTACCACATGTATTCATCCAACAATTTGGCTTACATGCACATCTGTGGCTATTGTAAAATGGTGGGCTTTGGACATGGTTTGTTAATAAATTGAACACAGGTGCATCACAAAAGGAATAGTCATTTGAACAGTTTTAAACTTACTATTTTGTACTGTTAAAGACATACAACATATTGAACAGATAAAAATTCACAAGAGGAACACTTTGCTTTGTATTTTTAGTTCTGCTAAGATATGAATAAATCTCAAAATACAATGTAATTTAAAAAGTGCAGCACTTCTAAAAAATTATTACCTTCATAGTGGATAACTGTACTGAGGTGATATAAGAGCAGAGGGAAGAAGGAAAGCTTAATGCTGCACATGTGTAGCAGGCAGAAAGCAAATGCATAGACAATCACTCATAGAGTAATAGTTACAGACAAATATAATCATAGTTTACCTATTACAACAGGACCAATATGTCAGCTTTTCAGTACTGAAACAGAAACCACACTAGTGAGTATATAAAGTTGACATAGAAATCTTTTTTTCACTGATCAAGAGATCATTTTATTAATTGGATTTTTGTCACACACCATGAATAGTTACATAGTGAAGAAAGCCAAACATTGCTGGAAGCAATTGACAAAGATCAACTGATATTTCTGTACCCTCTCTTAAAAGGCTTGACTTTTCTGCATTCAGTTTTGCTTAATTTAACTGCTACTTGCAAAATTAATTCTCTGTCAAGATTGTCACATTTTAAATACAGATAAATTGCTAGAGGTACATTATATATTCATACAGAAAAATACAAGACTAGTTGCTTTCCACAATATTTATATGCTACAGTAACTATAAGCAATTTGTAAAGACAAATTTAAGGGGTACAGAAAACTGTTACTTATTCTATATAATTTGGTCCAATATATTTTAATGTAGTGGTTATTCTCTCCCTCCTTTAACAGAACATAATACAACATACAATACATGCACAGCCATTCACTTGTGAACAGATGAATAAAAGACAACATTCAGGCTAACATCTGAACACCCAAGTAGTTCACCCAACCATACATAACTAAAGGCTATTTTACAGCTATGCAGCATAATGGTCAACACCGCTGATCTAAAGTGAGCACCATATATATATTTACACATATACATACATACACCATTGTTTATAAAAACGGAAGAAACAAAAACTCCTGGGGTTGGTCAAAAAGATGCCTTTCCTAGGCTGTACATAATGTGTGATATTTACAGCAACTTGAAAATAAAAGCTGCAACAAAGTTTATTGCCAATGCCCTTTATAAATTTCTCCTACTTTTTATATAGATGCCCTATTTACTGATATCTATGAACTGTCTATATTTCTGGCCTTTTATAAGATCCCTGCCCAAGAAAATTTCAAGCAAATATTTTCTATGGCTTCACCCATATATCAGTTCTTTCAACTTTGTGCATGTACATACATACACAATCTTATACAGAGTACTTATGTCATACTGGTAAAGATCCAAGCAGTATAAAATTAGATTGCAACAAGAGTCTGAAAAACAAAAGTGAAATATTTCATTTATACCTTGCTATACTTGGGAAATAAAAATCATAAATCCTGAACTAGGCTAGACATTAAAATACACTTGCATGATTCAGAACTAGAGATGAATCCGTATTTATCTGGAAATAAGCCATAATGAACTCAACTGGCTTTCTAATAAAATGTTTTAGATTGTACCTTCAGATAGATTTACCATACTAAAAAAGGAAGCATAAAATCATATTCCAATGTAACAATTCTTTGGTGCTCTACAATCTATAATGTAAATGAAATGCATTGTACTTGACCATTTTGCTAGCATCACAATACTACTGAGCTATAGAAAGTATTCAGACCCCCTTCACTTTTGTTTATTTTGCTATGCTGCAGCCTGATTCTATAGTTGTTAAAATTCATTTTTTCTCATTAATCTACACTCAGTATTCCATAATGATAAAGTGAAAACAGAACTTTAGAAATACCTGCAAATGTATTAAAAAGGAAAAACTGAAATATTACATTAGCATAAGTATTCAGACCCATTGCAACAATTTTTGAAATTTAGCTCAGATGCTTCTCAATTCTCTTGATCATTGCTGACATTGCTGACACCTTGATTGGAGTCAACCTGTGGTAATGTGCTCGGACATGATTTGGAAAGGCACACTCCAGTCTATAGGAGGCCTCACAGCTGACAGTGCATGCTATCACAGAGCAAAGCCATGAGGTCAAAGGAAGTGCCTGCAGAGCCCAGAGACAGGATTATTGCAAGGCACAGATCTGGGGAAGGCTACAATAACATTTCTGCTTTACTGAAGGTTCCTAGGAGCACAGTGGCCTCCATAATTCTCAAATGGAAGACGTTTTGGCACAAGCATGACTCTTCCAAGAGTTGTTTATCCAGTCAAACTGAGCAATCGGGAGAAAGGCCTAAGAGAGGTGACCAAGAACCTGATGGTCTGACTGAGCTCCAGAAATCCTGTGTGGAGAGTCTGAGAGTCCTTCACGTGCTTTTTTGCAAACTCCAAGTGGACTTTCATATATTTTATAGAGGAAAGGTTTCTGTCTAGCCACTCTGCCTTAAAGGCCAGATCAGTGGGGGGGCTGCAGTGATGGTTGGCCTTCTGACTGAGCTTGAAAGGATTTGCAAGGAAGAATGGCAGAAAATCTCCCAATCCAGGTGTGCAAAGCTTGTCGTGTCATACCTCAAAAGAGGCTGTAATTGCTGCCAAAGGTGCTTCAACAAAGTATGAGTGAAGGGTCTGAATACTTATGCCAATATATTTCGGTTTTTTTTCTTTTTAATAAATTTACAGACATTTCTAAATTTCTGTTTTTACTTTGTCATTATGGGGTATTGAATGTAGGTTAATGAGAAAAAATGAATTTCAATAACAGTAGAATCAGTAGCATAACAAAATTGAGAAAAGTGAAGGAGGTCTGAATATTTTCTGAATGCACTGAATGTAAACTCTCTCGGACAACTGTCTGAGTTGCTGCTACATAATACCATCAGTTCTTATAGCATTGCTTTGAAGACCCAGTGCACAGAGCAAAATAATAATAATATTCTTATATTTTCCCAAATTGGGTATATTTTATTTTATCCTAGATATATATTCAGAAAAGTTAATTCATCTAGTCAAAAGTATTTTTAACAGAAAAAGTGCCCAAACATTCATTTGCTGGCATTTCAGTAGTAAGGGATTTTTAAAAAGCAAATAGTCAAGAAGGAAAGAAAATTGCTCCATGCCAACTTGTGTTACTGATTTGATTTGGAGAATTTTTAAAGCAAATTAAATACCACATCCCAAACTTAATGTCCACTTAAAATTTATTTTCCAGTAAAAATAATCTATGGTGCATTTTAAATCCATGGGGAGAAATTGAGGATATATTATTATCAACTTTATTTGCCACCTATCTTGCCATGGAGCATATTAAAAGTATTCCAATTAGGCTCTGATAATCTGAACAGACTCTTATTCAGATTCCAGCAACTATTCTTACTCTCTTTTACTAAAAATGACTGGCTGAATTGACTGTATACCTTACAGTGTTCTGAAGCATTTCTGATAAAATTAACACTATACAAAAGTGACAATTACCTATTTTGTCTCATTTACCTGCATGCTCAAATTACTTTATTATGTCCTTAGTCAACTCTTTATGACCATTCCATTAATAATAAAACATTGAAGGGCATAATGGAAAGTAGATTTGGGAAAAAACAAACTTTGCTTTTTCGGTATCAACAGTTACTATATATGAAATGATTTATTGGAAAAGATATCAACTAAAGATCTATTTATTGAAACAGATCTCAGCTACCACAAATTGGTCCATTTTAAATATTTTGCACAATACTTTACAACCGATATATACCAGTAATGAATGCTTTCCCCTGGATGGGGAAAAAATTATACTATTCCTTTGTTAGATAATTCTTTTTAAAAAAGATTGTCTGCATTTAATTGTGGGGAAAGCTGCCTTAGAGATTATTTTTTTTAAAAAATCTTGTCTATATCAAATCAAGATCTTCATTTCAGCCATCACTCGTGCATTTAAGACAAAGATGTGGGATTAAAAATCAAGATTTCAAGATAACTTTTCAGTGCACTTTTGCTTTGTACAAGCCTTGAAATTCTGAAAGCTCCAGAAGAGATTTAAGTATCAAAGTTTTATTGCTTTGGTTCTGTTGCAAACACAGATAATTATACCACATCTCATGTATTTTAAGTAACACAGAAGATCCAAAGAAAATTTGACGTCTTACTAAGAAATAAAAAATCTGTTTCTAATTAAGTGCAGAATATGAAACTACCAAGTGCTTAATTTATACTGGATTTGGACATGAGCCTTACTATAATCCAGATTTTCTAGAATAAAATTAGAAAGAAAATTACACAAATCTTGGGTTTGGAACAAAAGAAATTACTGGCTAGCAACATGCACAGTATCATGCATTGTCATAACACGCAAAACTAAACTGTAATAAATTACTGCTTAAAGCCTATGTTAACATAATAAGACAAAGATAACAAAAGGTTCAGTGAAATAAAGTATTCACAGCTCTGAACAGGAAGATTGGTGATGTCAAGTAGAATGGGTTAAATATGATTATTGTCAAACAACATGACAACAAGTTGTCTGACCTGATGTACATAATAGTCCCTCCTTCGGGTTTCGCTGAATATTCACAGATATTGTTTTTTCACATAGAGGTAGTTGTAGCACATTATTTTTCAAGTTCTTGTTCTTTATTCGTTCTAATTCATTTGCTGCATCTGACATTTGGTCAGAAAATAATTTTATGCTGCTCAAAGATGAAACTGGATTTACACTCCCAGAACTTATGCACATTTTCCATGTTGATTTCTCCTGCACCTTCACACTGGAAAATGAAATGTTGCTTTGGGGATCAATTATGTACTTAGTGCTACTGTGAATCTGAGAACCTAAACAAATGCTCATCAACTTGAGACTTTCAACCAGATCACCTGCACTTCTTGATGACAACTGCACTGAATTACCAGATCCTGCACATCTGCGAGTGGAACCTGAATTGTTATTTGTGCTTCCACTAGAACTACTGGAAGGACTTCCACCCTCTTTATGATTATCACCAGGACTTGTTTTGTCAATCCCTCCATTTCCATTGCTTGGTTTTCCTTGTCCACTTCCATCTCCTTGATTTCCTGGAGGACCTTCACTACTATCTCTTCTATGCCAGGAATAAGTAAATCCACTGTCTTTATCTAGACGTCGCCTACTTTCTGAGTCATCATCACTTGTTTCTGAGCTACTACAACTAGATCCACGACCCTGACTTTTCCTTCTGTGGTAACGTTTATGCACAGTGCTGGGTGAAGCAATATTCATTTTTAGACGACTAAGTTTGGGAGGCAAATTCTCATCCATATCAAATTCATCATCAGATTCCCCTTCTTCAAAAATCTGATTAAGAACTGGGGCACTTTTTCGGGAAGTTAGACGATTTGTAACGGAAGGCTTACGACGCAGAACAACTTGATTTGACAGAGAAACAGTTTTTTTATCTTCTTCATCCTCCTCTTCATCTTCTTCCACTCTAAACAAGCACTTCCGACTACTAGTTGTAGGTTTTAAATTCACTGAGGGAACAACTGAAAGTGCTGGTCCAGCTAATTCAGGAATATCCTCTTTCTTGGCTGACTCATTAAGTGCCTTACTTCTGTGTCCATTAAGAACATTTTCAGCACTACGAGCAGGAGATTGGGGAACAGCTCCATGAGACAATGGAGAAGCTGTAAGGTCATCATCTAAATCTTGGGGAACATCAATTTTTGTTGGCCATGATTGTCTAAAATAAACATAAAACAGAGAAAACATGAAAATGCAAATTTAATTAAAAATCAAAATCAAAAATACCTCAAAGCAAAATCTTTATTTCATGTTAATTGCTTCTCATTTTAATAAATATATTATTGCTGCAAGTAATATAAAAAGTGAAAAATAATCAATATATATTTTAAAATTAATCACATTTTTTCTCATTAGCTTAAGTTCAAATATTTGAACAATTAATTTCTTAAATCATTCTAGGCTGTCTTTTGAAAATGAAGACACAAATTAAGGCATCTTATATCAGCATATAAACAAAATGGAAATTCCACTTTTATCTCAAACCAATCTTTGGATCCATTTTTTTCTCTTAATAGCATTAATTGTTTAGTCTTTTTTTTAGTAACTAAAGTGATACTAATTACTGTTATGTAGTGCAATTTATTAGGACTTTAAAAATGCCAATAAAGTAATAACGGAAGAGGCAAGTTCAACAGATATTGTGGTACTTCCAGAATAGTCTTTTATAATCTAGCCAATATTGATTCCCATCCTTGTGTATTCCTGTAGCTCTCAAAAGAACTGCTGGAATCTTCCCATGTGCAAATGGGACAGGTGACTGATAATCCAGCTTGGAGGCAGGCAAATAAAAAAAAAATTAGACACAGAGAGCCACCTGTTCACTTTCTCAAAGAAAAAGTAATGAGGACCATGTTAAAACAAATAGGTGAAAGAAAAATAATTATATTGGTTTTCATGGAACCAGCAGGTAACCCATAATACCCTCTGAATATATTTTCATCAATGAGGAATCATACCAATTTGGAACTAGGCTGAGAATGAGACCTCAGATATCAATTACTTTTTATGACTAGTAGATTTCTAGCCCAAATTTCAGGCATGGAAATATTTTTTTATTAACATTTTTACCTCCTCTGCCCTAGTCATGTTTGATATCTATTACAACTCTGGCAGACTTTACTGCTTCAGAGCTAGATTGTTTAGGACTGTTTCCATTGATTGCCTTGGTGCTAATTTTAAACTTGAGTTTTTAGGAAATCCACTCAATCAATCTTATGCTTGTATTTCAGAAGTTCAGTCCTGCTCAGGTTAATGTATTTCCAAATGCATGCAGATTTTTACTCTTAAAATACTCATAACTTTAAGTTTTAATCCTATCTTCAGACTGGGCATCTCCTCATTCCTAATTTTCCCTATGAAAATCACCCTCTCCAAAACACTAAACCTTTTTCCTTTTTTTTAAAAAAAAATATTTTAATTAATTAAATTAATTAAACAAAGAAAAACAAGAATAGTGACACTGTAAGAAAATGTAAGTATGGGAAATGCTATCCTTCTCCCACCTTTATTTCAAACTAGTCATCCAGTTGCTACTTTGAAACTATAAAATGTAACTAAAATCAAGTATTGCAGGGTGTCAACCCTGATCGCATCACGGGCCATATCCTGATATATCAGTATGTGTTTTGCCCTTGTGGGGCTGGAGTGGTTGTGGCTTGCACGGGCCACATGTTTGACATGCCTGAAGTATTGGATTTAATGATATAACTGGACTAGTATCTAACTTGTTACATTTTTTTTATTTATTAAAATAAGATTTCTTGCTTCATATAATCTGTTTGATAGAGCTTTTTAAATACAGTGCCGTTTTCCTAAACTTGTTTGGGCTTTTTTCTATATCATAATATATAATTTATTTTAGCCTCTATTATAGTGATTTTAAATAGTCTTCCTGAAGAGACTCTCCTAATTATATCTTCAAGTTGTTTATTCCATTTCTACATTTAAATTAGTTTGATATTTTTAGAGTTTATTTATTTTTGTATCTCCTGTTTTTTTATACAATCGTTCTTTAGAAAAGGCTGCAATAAGATTTAAGTATTATCATTTTTAATTGCTTGGTCTTTCTGTATCTCAAAATTACCATAATTTTTTTTAAAAAAATATATTAGAGAGCACGCTCTTATTATACACACATCTTAGATTTAAGGCCTCTATCATTAAATTTGAGCACCAATATTTCTTAGCCTTGAAATTCATATAAATTCATATTCTCTCATCCTGCAAAGTAAGGACTGAAAGGGAGACCTTTATCTAAAAATCTACACATCACCATATTTACTATGAGAAAAAATGTATTATTGCTGAATGAGGACACAGAATGCTAAATCAATTTACCATTCTCCATAGCTAATGCCCTTAAAAGGACACATTTTTCATTTTTCAGAAGTGTTATATTTGATATATAGATAACTGCATCCATTCTACAGTATTTTTAAAATGTACATTTAAAATAAAAAGGTTGTGAGTCTCCATAAAGAATTTAAATACAAGTAATAATAGTTGGGAGGGAGGGATGGATGGATAGATAGACAGACAGACTAATACAGTAGATGTATACACTAGACACACATATATACATATAGACGGATACATAAGCACACAAACATCTGTCTGTCTGTCTGTCTGTCTGTCTGTCTGTCTGTCTGTCTGTCTGTCTATCTATCTATCTATCTATCTATCTATCTATCTATCTATCTATCTATCTATCATCTTAAATCTTACCTAAACTGCGCTTTTATATTGCTTGGACTTGCTGATCTGGTTTGTATTTCTTTTTCTTGTTTCTCTCTTAAAATCCGCTCTGCTAGTAAAAAGTAGGTGGCAGTGATGTGATTGTATTTATTAGTTTCCAGAGCCCTGAAGAAATAAAATATGTATTAATGGTTTTCTCAAACTGGACATATTGCCAACATAACATATGTTCCTCAAGAAAAATGTTGAAGAGTACCTCATAACAGAAATTTGTACTTTAGACATCTTTACAAACTGCCACTGCATTACAAAAAACTGGGAAATTAATGCAGAAAGTTTAATAATTACACAACAATACCTGGGGTCGTACAGTGGTTAGAAAGCATTATTGCCGGCTGATTCTGCTCGTTGCCAGGAGTTCGATCCTGACTGGCTCAAGGTTGACTCAGCCTTCCATCCTTCCAAGGTCGGTAAAATGAGGAGCCAGATTGTTGGGGGTAATATGCTGACTCTGTAAACCACTCAGAGAGGGCTGTAAAGCACCATGAAGTGGTATATAAGTCTAAGTGCTATTGCTAGTCCTTGACTTATGATCTATTGCTCACCAATCATTTGAAGTTACACTGTTCCCCCTACCAGGGTACTTACTTACAACCCGGTTATGAAGTTCAGAAGAATGTCTCTCCCCCTCCCCCAGGGTCACTTGACCATATGTCAGGCGCTCAGCAATCAGCTTGCATTTGGGCTGTTTGCAGGGTCCTGCAGAAAGTGACATTTTATAACATTTTTGCCTAAAACCAGCATTTATTTCTTCTTTCTTTTATTTTTGTAAAACCAGCCTTTACCAAACCATTGGTTCACTTAATGTCTGTGGCATTTGCTTAACGACCTCCATAACAAAGGTTGGTTTGGTCAAGTGGATGATTCAATTTACAGCTGCCATAATGTATGACTATTAGTCATAAGTTGAGGACTACCTGTATATGAAAAAAAAATTTAACAGCTGAAAAAATGTTCCGGATGACAATAACTTATTGAATTTGAGTCAACAGTATTTCCAATTGCCAGATACAGTATATGATCACTTCCCAATATTTCATGCAGATGCAACAGAATTTCTGACAGATATGGCTATACTACTGTCACAAATCTAGTTATAACTAGGATTACTGAGAACTAGTTTATTTTCAATGGCTCCCGAGGATGGTCTATAATTGCTAAAAGAAGCAATTTCAGGGACACACTCCCACTTTGGAGAAGTGGCACCTCAAGTCCAATGGATGGCCTTTTCTTCCACACTACTTCAGAATTTGGGTGATTTATCACTATTTAGTGGACACCAGGAAGCAAATTGAAGAAAGAAATCAGTCAAGAAACACACTACATATTATCTTTAAACTTTCAATACTAAAGAATGCTTCTGTGTCCTCTGCCATCAAATAAAATTAAAAGCTAATTTAAAACAAATGAGCAATACCTTTCCTCATATTGCTTCAACTAACTTGAAGTGAACTTTCTCACTTCAGAGCCTTCTTTGTAATTGTTCATACAAATATAAAAGTCACATGAGCAGCAAATCACTGACTCTCGATATATGACAGAAAATTGTTAGACATCAAATTCAAGCAACTTACTGCTCAAATGCTCAAAGGGATTTAGCAGACACTTGAAACACATTGCATACAATGAGACCTAAATCAAGCTATTTGATGCTTGTTTCATTTGCACTGACAAGATATTTTTTATCAAAATAAATGTACATTTACTTAACAGATTTTATATTGATTATAAAATCTAATTTTATAAATTTAGAGCTAATTTATTAGCTCTAAATTTGAGAACTAAATTTTCTCAAAAGTTCAAAAGCTTTTAAATAGATTATAAGAAGATACATAATATAAATACAGGAATTATTTTCATATGGAAATAATTAGGAGGTTAAATGATAGAACTACCTGCTTTCAAAACCAGTCAACAAACACACATGCACAGAGAGGCAATGAAGAAAGTGTACTACAATATCTGGATATTTTACATGTCTTGTAGTCATTTTGGCTACAGCATCTTTCCTATGCTTTTGCCATCTATTTAATTACAGTTAGAAGAGTATATTAGTATAGTTGCTGTCCCATAGATTCCAGAAGCAATTTTTAAAAAACCATAAAACTGAATAGATTACAATTGGTTATATAGTTATGTTTTCTGTATTTATTTAAGTAGTCAATTTTTGCTTAAGTTGTAGCTGTCTTATCATGGAATTGTTTTAAGGACCAAAAAATTTAAAAAAAAGAAAAGAAATAACATATTACTTTATTTGTTCGAAATAACTTCAAATTAAAGTAGAAAAGTGCAAAATAAACATTTGACATGAAGGAATTTCTCTGAAAATCAGATATTAAGGACATACAGAGTAAACGTTACAACCTGATTATGATGCCAGAGAAGTTCTTGTGCTTTTCCACGTGCTTTTCTAATTGCATCTTCTGGACTAAATATTTATAATTACCACATAAAATGGCTGTTGACTATGATAACTGTTAATTCTGGAGCTGAAATCTAAATGTCTATGGAAGGCACCAGTCTGAGAAACAGTATTAAAATTATAAAACTGAATTATAAAACTGTATAAAATGTTACTTACTCCACAATAGTATCTCGATCTGCAATATCTCCAAGAACCATGCGCTGTATGATGCTATTGTGCTCTTCCTCTGAAAGATTTTTATATGAAACCAAAGGAATATTATATTTTGTTGCAGGTGATGGATCAACTCCTTGTAGCCAAGGGTGATTTTCAATTTCTTCCAAAGATGCCCTTCGTTTGGGATCTCTCTGCAACATTCGTGTAATTAAACTGGCAAGAAAAATACAAGCATATATTACAATCAATATATAATGGTATATTCACAAAGCTGTTTTTCTTTTATAATACAACTGGTTCTTACCCAGGATATAACTGACTATTTAATTTCTAGAATTCTTTTTATTCAAATTTATTTTATTGAGATACTAGATCTTCCTAATTTTTTAAAATTATTACACAGGCCTATGAGATATTTTCCAAATCCATCAGCATATAAATGTATTCATTTGAGATTAAAAGATATTAAGTCACAGCAGATGATAGTACTTATCTAGCCTTATTTTTATCTTGATAGGTAAGCTGGATCTGACTTGGTTAGAGTTTCTACAGAAGACAATCAGGAAACCCTTCACTGTAACTAAACTAGAAAGTACATAAGCATATTTTGTTTACTGCTGTGTTTTGCTCATTCAGTACATTTTAGAAGGTTTTACACATATATAACGTAAGTATAAAAGTAGCCTGAAAACTGAAGATCACAACATTAAGTGAGGGAATACTCACTTTTCAGAATTCTCTGGTCAGTTTAGAATGTCAGTATATTGCCCTGAAACAATCTGGGTCCTCATTTTACCAACCTTGGATGGATAGAAGGTTGAGTCAATCCAGCCCCCATCAGTATTGAACTCCAGACTATGGGCAGACTTTGACTGCAATACTGCATGCAAGTAATTGCACCACCAGGGCTCCATTTATATAAATAGAAGATTTACAATATACAAGTTCTGTTCATATTTGTCTTTATAACATACAAATGAGCTGCATTGGTTCCTGGTTTGCTTCTGGGTCCAATTCAAAGTGTGGGTTATCATCTTAAAACTCTTCATGGCATGGGACCAGGTTCTCTGAGGAACTGTCTCATTCCAATGATTTTGGCCAGTTCCACTCAATCCAACAAAAGGGATATGCTGTAGGTCCCAATGGTCAAAGAATTTGAGGGGTCTAGAAGGAAAGCCTTTTCTGTGTGACCCCTGCTCTTTGGAATACTTTGCCACTTGAGGTGAGGTCTGCCTCTACCCTTTTGCTTTCCCAAAGAATGTTAAAATCTAGCTCTACTGATTGGCTTGGGATCCTGATGAGGACACTCCACACTAAAGATTGTTGGTGGACAGAGAAGATGCCACCACTGTACCGACCTTTCCTTTTATTTCTTATCTTTGTATCTAATGTTTTAAACATTTTTATATTTAATATTTTAGTTGTAAGTCACCCAGATTCGCTTGGCAAAGAGGTGAGTAGCCTATAAATGTAATAAATACAGTTATTGAAAAAAATCACATTCTCAGTAGTTTTTTTAAAGCTTAAAATAATATTTTACTCTATGACAGGATTTTAATCTGCAATATCTTCTAGAACCAGTACCAATATAGAATGCAAACAAAGGGGGAAAACATAATTATTAAATAGAAAAAAGAATGTTCAAAAATAAATATGTGAATATTTTGAAGAATGAGGATAAATTATTTCATTCTTTAACGTATATTTTATTTATATCCTGCCTCTCCTTTAAGAAATTCAACAGAGCATATAGAATTCTTCCATATCCTTAAAGAAATCTTGAGGATATAGATTAGATTGAAAGAAAGGAAGGGGGGGGGTTGTGATTTTTTCATTGTGGTGAAATGAGAATATAAACTGAGTTCCTCCAGTCTTCACCACTATATTTACTGCCCATATATTGAAGTATTGGCATAATGTTTTTAATTATAAGGCATTTTATACAATAATTTACTTACTCTTTACATTCTTTGGATACCCGACATGGTACTGTGTATTTACAATCCATTATCATGGTCAAAGTTTCACTATCATTTGCTTCTTGAAAAGGTGGTTGTCCACATACCAACATGTAAAGAATAACTCCCAGACTCCATATATCTAGGAAAAGATAATGAATTTTAAACTTCAAGACAGAAAAAATTTATATACTATTTGACCAAACATTTTAATTAGTCAGAATTTACAAGATTATAACTAACTAGATAAGGACTGGAATGTTTTCTATGCACTTCCATGAAATATCATTTTAATTTTTGTATTTCACTCTTTCTTTTTTATAATTTTTAACATAAATCACTTTGAATTTTTCAGATTTGGTTATCCTATTGGTCAAAACAAATAATAAAACAATTGCTCTGACTGCCAAGAGAGAGGGAGAGAGAAAGGGAGAGGGAACAGGGAGAGGGAGAGGGAGAGAGATACCGTTACAAAGACTGCTAGTAGCTACCGGCTTATCTAGATAAAAACTCCTATCATGCAACAATGCCAATATTATTCTCAGTATAAAATGTGTTCTCAGGTGCAGAAATTTGAGCATAAGGGTACTCATAACTCAGAAAATTATTTTTATTACTGTTTAGTACTATTGATTACCATTATATTTGTGAATGGTTATTTACTGAGACAGTTGCTAAATGAGAACTACATGTTCATTATTTGGTTAAGCATTGACAACAGGGACAGTCTTACTGCAAAGAGAACTAGAGATCCTGAAATGGCTTGTGTACGAGCTTTTCCTATGGGAGCCTACATTTAAAAATGTTCTTTTCTTAAATTTTGTAGATGCTCACAAAATGTTAAATGTTATAGCATTGAAGACCTCTATCAAGCCTTTTTGTATGAATACTGAATAAACACTTCTTGTTTATGTTTGTTTTCCTTTTCCCTTTTTCTATATTTTCTTAATTGGATTTTTTACATTTTGTAGGCCATATATAATGCATTTGAATAGAATTAAATTGCCATTTAAAAAAAAATCTTCCTGTCATAAAGCACAAGTCAACAGAACCCACATCTGAATAAAGAAGTCTATATCAGATGGATTAGCAGTCTAACCTATTAACAGGCAGGTCCATTTATTCATTAAAATGCAGGGCAAAACTCCTTAAAATATCTAAAGTGAAAGTCTTTCCTATTAATTCAGGGGTCCCCAATCCCCGGTCCATGGACAAGTACTGGGCCGCAGCATGCTAGCAACCAATCCGCACAAACAGCAAAGCCCCATCCACGGGATGCAGGCAGCAAACAAAACCACACATCCTCCGGTCCGCGGAAAAACCTCTCTCCACGAAACCAGTCCCTGGTGCCCAAAATATTGAGGACCTCTGTATTAATTGGACCTCTATGATTTTTTTTCAGATTATGATTAAAAAGATAAATGGCAAGAGCTTTGCTGCAGGGCTTTAACTAAAACAACTGTGACCATTTGGAAATATTAATCAAAGCAATCAAAAATTATACAGAAGAAAAAAATATCTGTGTATTTGTTACTAAGCAGGAAATCAAAAATTATTTTTTTAACTTAAAAACTTTCTCAATATTTCTCTACCTCGCTTAGCGTTCACTTAAAAAACTTTCACTATCATGATTTTAGTTATTTTTAGATTGATTGCTCCCATTAGCAAACAATCAGGCAACAAACCTTCATGAAAAGTCTGGAGAAATATCGGGAATCCAAGTATTTATCAAAAACAAATTAAAGATTCTATTACATACCCTTAAACAATGGATCTGATTGAGTCTACAAAAATATTAAGAACATCAGTGATTTAAAACATAATACTTCATTTAAGGAAAGTCTTAACTCTTAAATATGTAATTACACAGTATGTAATTTGGAATTGTAATGTATTAAGATTTATAGCTTCTGGTTAGCACTGGCTGTTTTTCAAATGCTTCTGAAACACCCCAATTTTGAAAGTTGTTCCAGCCAGATTCTCAGAGCCATGACAACCAGGCAAATACATGCAATTTCCTTACTCCTTACATAACATCAAGTCACTGCTATGGAAACCAAACTTCGTCACTGACTGCCTCTTTAATGCTTGTCAGAAATCTAGTAGGTAGAGGGCCCCAAAATTTACCGTGGATTTTGTTGTGCATATTATTAAAAATGCTATTGTTTTATTTTGAAAAGAATGCCAAACAAACCTGTCAACTAATGCATTTCACACTGAATCCTTAAAGAATTAATACATTGTTCTTTAATGAAAGAAAATGTTAATCGGTAAAAAAAAAATCTATGTTTTTTAATATAATTGCATCATGCCAAAGGAGGCATACTATACTTTCTCAATTACTAATTTCTAAAAACATAGAAATAAAAAATGATTATACATCTTTATTCATATTAGTGGCCATGAGCAGAATCTTTTAATAGTCTTAGAAATTAATTACCTGTAATGTTCATCAGATATTCCTGTTGGACTAACTACAAAGATATTTTGTCAGCATAAAGGAGTAAGCATTACTATGATATAATAAGAACTTCAGGTGCCTGGGAGTGGTATTACAGAAAAGTTCTATGAATAAATGTTTTGTGGGATTCTCATATTAATCTGTATTTTCATTAAAATATCACAGAAAAATTATTTGTGAATAATTTACTATAACATAATGCAATCTCCAGATGGCAGGGAATGGTACTGCAGGAAAAATCAATGAATAACACTTTCATGGGACTCTCCTGTAAATCCACAATTTAAAAAAAATACCATGAAAAAAATATCTGCACAATAAGATTAATTATATAAGATACTACTAATATTATGTAGCTTGAAACAATTAGTGCAGGCCAAACTCATCCAATGATTTATCATCAGATCATCATTTCCTAATGATCTTCCAGAAAAAGTGAGATTTTTGACAGTAACAGATGCCATCTCCAGACATGATATATACTAAAAAGGAAATTTACAGCAAATATTTCAAACAAGTAGCATTTTTTAAATCAATGTCACATATGCACACCACAAATCTATCTTTCCAACTGTATACAATTTACTTAGTAATTTATTATTCAAAATGCTCACTTTCCATTTGAATGGGACTTCCTAATAATATATTACAAAAACTTTAAGCAACTAATTAAAAGATCATATAATTAATATTATCTGCCCATGTTCTAACAAAATTACAGATTTTTAACATTTTTTTTTATACTGCCCTATTTCTGCTTCTAATCATGGGAAAAAAATGGAACTTTTGTGTCCGTGGAGATTCTCAAGTCATGGGGGTCCTAAAGGGGTTTTTTTTCCGCAAAAGGCAATTGGACTTTTTTTTTTTTACTTAAAAACATTTCACTTCTCATCCAAAAAGCTTCTTCAATTCAGTTTTAGAACCCTTCTTCAAAGAGGAGCTATTTTGGCCTGATTTATAAACTATTTATTTTTTATTAAATAATGCTCCATTCATTTTATTTGATTTTAATGTATTCTAACATATTTTATGATTATCATTTATCTTAACTGCTGTATTGTTATGACCTGCAGGCAAAAAGTAGACCAAATTGAAATGGATAGGTTAAGGTAAATGTATGAAATTGTGTGGATATCTTAATATCCATGGTCAAAAAATCTCAAGAACATACCATTTTTTTTCACCTCTATATTTATTGCTACCATTTGTAGTGTCAAACAAATTTTTATTGTTTTACTCAGTATCTTAACTTTTGACTATATTAGTCTCAGATTAAAAGTCAAGGCATTTTCAGGACAAATTTATCTTTTTTATGTTACCCTTTAGACCCCAGTTAGCTTTCTACTTATAAAAGGAGAACTTTGAAGTCACATATCCAACTGAATATTTCTCACACAATGGCCACATGGAAGCAAAAAAGACTTTCAATTGTAAATCAATTTCATAGTTATTACTAAACTTTCATGTAACTTTTTCCCAGCAACTATTTTTTTTCTATCTACTTTGATTATGTATTCTATGTACTCACTCTTTCCTGCCCACTTCCTTTTTTGTGCGGGGAAATTACTATTTTAGTAAAGGATTTCCTGTTTAACTGTTGTACAATACTTGGCTTGTAAGAATTAAGCCTAATGTTGTTTCACTGATAATACTACATGTATAATAAAGGAAATTAGTAACATTAGAAAAACCACAGAAATCCAAGAAATCCAAGTATCTAAAATATGTTGTTGAGAGGAAAAACAATAGATTTATGCATTTAGAGAGGAAATATCTGTCACCATAGTGCAATTATAATAAGTAACCATTTTAGCTGCTCATTGAAGCAAATTATTATATTCATCCTTTTTTCATGTTCACTAAATCAGATTTATACAATATGGATTTGAGCAATTGTGAACCTCATAGGCCTTTGATATAAACTTGGATAGTCCTAACTGGTTATGTGTTTTGTTATTTGAAACATGTATCCTATCTGGAACCCCTGAATAAAGTTATAATTTCATGAAGTAGTTACAATTCACAATGGATAGATTGAAGGTTTGATAATGAAAAAGTTGCTTTACAGCTTTTAAAGTAAATTCTGGGAAAGAAGAACTGGGAGCCAACTATTTTAAGATGAATTATCTCAATAGCATATGGATTAAAATATTTCTGATTATCAAATAGAAATGGGACCACAACTAGGCTCTGTGTGTTTGTGTATTTTAAACAAAAATGACCTCCAAGGCCCCTTCCAACATTATTATTATTATTATTACTACTACTACTACTACTAGTACTACTACTACTACTACTATAGACATGTTTTTTTCATGAGAACAAGCTCTTCCTTTTCCATAACCTTAGAAGGTGGCTGTAGACACCCTTTTTTTGCCTTAGTTTCTCTTGTTCAAAATTGGGGGCAGTTTGAAAACTCAACAATAGTCAATCACAACAGCAAGAGCCACAATGAAAGAATGACTGAAACATCTGAAGAATTTTTGCTGAAAATTATAGGCTACTTCCACATAAATGCAACTATAAGAGAAGTCAGTAACAAGAACACTTTATGTTGTACTCCTAAATCAGAGAGGTAATGCAAGTATTTGAACTGTATTTGTGAGTGCAAACCTGGTTATTTGTTCATAATAGTTAAGATCAGTGGTGGGATTCAAATATGTGAACAACCGGTTCTGGGCCTAGTCAACAAAGAAAATTAGCTACCAGTTCTGCCGAACTGGTGCGAACCAGCTGAATTCTATCACTGGTTAAGATGCTGCTAGATAAATGTAGTTTTCTCTATTGTCAATGTAATTCAAACAATTCTTGAATTGAAGTGTAAATAAATACTGACTTATTTTAATGCAATTAAAGACAATACTGAACTATATTATATATGAAGTGAATATTATCTAGCACCCATTGTAAATAGCACAGTATATTTGAGATAATATAATCATAGAATGTGTCAACTTTTAACCATGATTACAGGTAGTCCTCGACTTACAAAAGTTTTAGTGATCATTCAAAGTTACAACAGCCTTGAAAAAAATGATTTATGACCATTTTTCTCACTTACTGTTGCAGCATCCACATGGTCATGTGATCAAAATTTAGATGCTTGGCAATTGGGTCATATTTATGACAGTTGCAATATCCTGGGGTCATGTGAACAGTTCTGACAAGCAAAGTCAGTGGGGAAACCAGATTCACTTAACAACCTTGTTACTAACTTAACAACTGCACTGATTCACTTAACAACTCTGACTAGAAAGGTCTTAAATAGAGCAAAGCTCTCTTAACAAATGTCTCACTTAACATAAATTTTGGACTAAATTGTGTTCATAAGTCGAGGACTATCTGTAGTTAACTTTAGGAGTCACCCGTAAAATGACAGAAACAGGCTATAGTCTGCAGTTGTTTGAAATTCGCTGATCATATAGTTGAAGCTTAAATGAATTCGCAGTTCCAAAATATCTGGAGGATACCTAGTTGCTTGCCTCCAACACTAGATTAATAGCATGAAAGGATACAAATATCTTTAAATCCACTCTTTTCATAACAAGGTATCCTCAAGAAGTGTTAGAATTGCAACTTTCAGAATTCTTTTTTAGCCTATTAGCTGTGAATTCTGGAAACTGCAGTTATTGGATGACATAAAACTGGGAAACACTGAATAATTTTTCAGGAATAGCTCATCTGAACACAAAAATATAGCAATTAAGATTTTGTTTAATAGTCCATTAACTTACCTACTGCAGGTGCATCATATTCATCACCAAGTAAAATTTCAGGAGCAGAATATGCAAGAGAGCCACAGCTTGTTGTAAGTTTTTTTCCAGGTTGAAATTTGTTGCTAAACCCAAAATCAGTTAATTTCACAAGTCCTTGTTTTTCAAAAAAAACAACATTTTCTGGTTTTAAGTCTCTGTGAACGACATGCAGTTTATGGCAGTAGGATATAGCATGAACAATCTGAGCAAAATATTTCTTTGCCAGATCTTCATTAAGACCTTCTTCATGTTTCATGATGTAATCAAACATATCTCCTCCATCACCAAGTTCTAAGATCAGATAAAGTTTGGTCTGGGTGTCAATAACTTCATACAGACGAACAATATTAGGATGTTGCACTAGTTTCATACATCTGACTTCTTGGAAAAGATGTCCAGTGGCAAGAGTATCTAACTTGGTCTTGTCAATTACTTTTACTGCCACTTTTTCACCTGTAAATACATGTCGGGCAAGCTTCACCACAGCAAAATGTCCTCTGCCTAAGGTTTTATCCAAATCATACAATCCAGCAATTTTTCCATCATATCCTCGTTTAAAACCTGCCATACTCTCCAAGTAGTAATGCTGACACTTTATAAAACTTGTGTTTTTTCATATAAGTATCTCTGAAATAGATATACAACTCATCTTCGCTGCCAGACACTCCTAAAAAATCAGAAATAAAATTATTATAAATGTACACTTAAAAAAATATTTCTGCTTTTATAAATGTTGGACTTTTATGAAAGAGTCCAGTATAAAAAATTTTTCTTGAAAGAAATTTGAATAATTTAGAGTGGTCAGTTTACAAATATCATATACACAGACAAGGTTTATCTAACACTTCAAGTAGTTGAATCATTAAATTATGCAGTCTAGCAGGGAAAAAAGGGGGGGAGCTAATTCCACAAAAATTTTAACAGATGACTGCTATTTCCTGAACTTAAAACATATTAAGTAAGAAATCTGAGGAAATTGCTGAAAAGATTGCCAAATATTAGTAAATGAGAGAAATTTCAGGATGTATATCTGACATATTTTCTAATAAAACCAGATAATTTTATACTTATCTATTTATTTTATATTACAAAACTCTTTTATAGGAACAGAGTAGAGAGAACAACAAAGCATCATACAGGTAATTCTCAACTTACAATCACTATTAAGCCCAAAATTTATGTGGCTGAGCAAGACAGTTAAGATAATTTTGCCCCATTTTATGATCGTTCTTGCCACCATTGTTAAGTAAATCACTCCAGTTGTTAAGTAAGTAACACAGTTGTTAAGTGATGGTTTCTCAATTGACTTTGCTTGTCAGAAGGTTGCAAAAGATAATCAGATGACCTTGGGACATTGCAATAATTATAAATATGAACCAATTGCCAAACATTCGAATTTTGATTACGTGATCACAGAGATGTTGCAAGGGTTATAAGTGTGAAAAATTTTTTTTCACTGCTGTTGTAATATCGAACAGTCACTAAATGAATAGATGTAAGTCAAGGATTATCTATAATTGTCTGTACTTTTTGCTTATTTCCATATTATCTCTTCATTATAGGTAATTTCTCTAGAGCCCAACCATTTGCATGTGTATTCTTGTGTCTCTGTGTGTGCGTCTCTCTCTCTCTGTGTATACAGAGAGGATGGGGTCATAATATAAAACTATGGGATATACACAAATTACTAGAAAGACAGATTCATGAGACACTTGCTATATTTAGATTTCAATGCTTATCATATTTAGTCAATTATGTATTAATTATTTTTAAAAAATGGAAAATGAACTATCAGGAATAATAGTCAAATTGTACAGCCAAGGTCTTCCCAAGAAAAATGTGCAGCATATTATCAACCATGATTAAAGTAAAACAAAGTTAACATTTTTTTTTTAAAAAAATGTAGCATCCTGCTAATCCCAGGTTAGAAAAAATCATCTCAACAGCTTGATCTGACCCATCTCTTTTTTCTCACTTTAATCCTGTCTTTCCTAAAAGAGAACTGAATAGATCATAATCTTTTATCATTGTATATACATTTGTAATGAGAAGAAAATAAATATTTTAATGGTACATTGTCAGTTGAGGATCCATATTAGAACTGTATACAAAATTTTTATATCATTGTGACAACTAAGATAAATCTCCTAGTGAAATAAAGTCTATATTGAATAAGTTGAGTGTCTACTAACCTTGGCAATGCCCTTCTCAAAGGTAACATCTTAGTTATGTTTTGATCATCAAGTTGCAAGGTTTCTTCATATTTTTAGAAGATTCATCTGCTGACATTTCTATTTCCAGTACCAAGACCAGTTTCACATTCTTCCACTGTTATTTCCTACATAAAAATATTTACTTAGCCACCATATTTGTTTTATATTTAAAGGAGCTAAATAAATTGCACAGAAAACAACTATATGAATATATGTATAAACTGTCATCCTAAAATTCATTTGGAAGAACACATAAATTGTTAAGAAAAATATATTGCTTTCTATTTAAAAAAATCTTAAATTATAAATATTACTGTGTAGCCTTAGAGTAGGGGTGTCAAATTGCCGGCCCGTGGGGCGGATGCATCATGCCGAAACTGTGCCCACCCATTACTGGCAATGGAAAAAAAGTCATAATACGTTGCGACACATCATGTGACATTGCGAGTTTGACACCCCTGCCTTAGAGCATATATAAAATCTGAATTGAATACATGGAAGGAAAAAATTGAGGCTTTTAATACTTCATTCTTTTCTATACCCAAACAGGAACTTTCTCTTAGATCAGTGGTTCTCAACCTTTTTAATGCCGCAACCCCCAACCGGTCGTAAGTCAAGGACTACTCAATCGGTTGTAAGTCGAGGACTACTCAACTGGTGCAGCACCGTTTGCAGAATGGGACTTTTGGCGGGCTCAGCAGAGCAGAGACAGCCTGGACAATTCCTATTGGCTTTTGAAAGCCAATAGAATTAGACTCTATTCAAGAGAGTCTATTCTATTGACTTTCAAAAGCCAATAAAATAAAAGGGAGCAGCACAGCTAAGGAAAAGGGGGAAAAAATGGCGGACTGCATTGTTTGGCGACCCCCGTGAAATGGTCGTTCGACCCCAAATGGGGTCCCGACCCACAGGTTGAGAACCACTGTCTTAGATTGACCAAAAGATGCTAAAGGCAGCACAGTTCTAGTAATCACTATATACATTTTAGATTTTAATTCTAATGGTTATGTTCTAGTTCTACAACAAACTTTCCTTATTTTTAAAAAATATTTGGAGACTGGATGTTTAATTGCATCATCCTGCACATTTGCCATTAGTTTATAATGCTCTACAATGATGAATACACAGGACATAAACATTATGGGAATATATTCCTGGAGATTTGGTTTTATCATTGATATCTGTCCAAATGCACCTTTTTAGGAAATCCCAGAAGCCAAGAGACACAGATATTTTTGGTAATATCTCTGAATGGGACCAATTTCTTTCTTATTCCCAATCTTTTCTATTGCTGATTTTGTCTTTTATATACTTTTTATCAGAATCAAGAAAATATATAATATGTTACAAATAAAGAACATATCTGCCAAAGAACAATTCAGATATTATCCTCATAATAACAATTCAGCCTGTACAAATTTTGAAGGTTAAGATCTTCAGAAATTCTTTGTAATGATAACTTCCAGGAAAATTCTAAATGGTAAAGTTTTAGAATTTCTTGGAGCATGGTCAATTATTTAATTTGTTGTTAGTTTTGGGACTAAATTACTTGCCAATATACTAAAATCATAAAAACAGACAACAAAAAAGAACAATTCTGCATGAGACTATTTGAAATACTAGAATGCTTGCAATAACTTTTATGCTTCCAATCCCACCCCCCCCCCCAAAAGCTGGTTAGTGGACATTCATTATCTAAAAGATGGGGAACTGTTTTACAGAGTTGTAGTAACCATTAATTAATAAAACATAGATTAATAAAAATGTGGTCCAACTATAATTGAAATTACTTATAAATCTGTATTAGAGGCACACTTCACAATCCCTTTACAAATATGCGTATCCTTTTTAATTACAGTGTTTAAGTTATTTACATAACCATTCCATTATTTTTAATTTATTAATCTTCTAAGCAGTCAAAGATTTAAATATGCCTCTAAGACAGTATCAAATCAGCTAAAAGAAGCAATCAACAAATTTAATAATTTCCTCACAGCATATGGTAAGAATTATATGCCTGATGTCCACAGCACAGTCCAGTCCAGGTGTTTTACCAGAAATCCATGATTACCGAAACAACACACAGATATATATATATATATATGCACACACACACTATATATATATATATATATATATATATATATATATATATATATATATATATATATATATATATGTATGTATACACACACACACACACACACACACACAGAGATATAACTGAGGTTAGGGGAGGATATACAGTTGGGTCATGATTATGACATTGGCTAGAGCTTAAGTCCTTCCTGATCTGGCTTTCCTGCACACATATTTTTCCAAAGCTACTTCCCATAAAGGATGAGCACCCCCCCCCCATGGACCAGGAGATTAATTAATGCAAAATGACCAAATGACGTTAACCTTTTCAGTGCTACAATTCTGATCTTTCTCCCCATTAAAAATACAAAAATCTAGAGTTGTGGAAACAATGTTCTCTTTTAAAGCAAGACAGAATAGATTATCTATTTATCCAATATTATGTCATTTTTCTAGAAATACTGTGCTATCTCTACTACAAAAAACATTATATTTCTCTATGGCTCGACTCAGTTGAAAGTGTTTTTCATCTATACTGAAAGTGAATTTTCTATATTAAATTTTTAAGATTTTATTTCCAGTTGATTAAAATACTGCTACAAACTGCACAGAACATCAATGAAACCATGTTAAAATACATATTATACTCTTATATATGTAGGAAAATTGTTTGAAGGAGAACAGGAGGCCACTTCAGTGAAACACTGAGTATATTAGAAAAAAATAAAATACTATATTAATTTACTATTTTATTAAATAGTACTGAACTTTATATTAATGCTCAGAGGAAAGTGCTTACACTTGCAAGTTCAAGTACTCACACTTGCAATAATCTAATAAACCTAAATAAATTCTATTCTAGAACAGGATAGTAAAATGGAAAAACAATATTATGAAAGAATTTGTCAAGCAAGAATGATCAAACAATTGCTAGATCTATTTGGTATCTGTCTAAATATATGAAAAGAGATGTCAACGGGTATTAAGGAGCATGCAACTGAAATGGCATCCAGAAAATGTTGCCAGTGCACCAGAAGCGCAATTGATGAATTAAATGAAGTTAGACAAACTTGTCATAAAGTGTTCTCTGAATAACAGACTACATAAAAGAGAAATAAACTGTGATCTTTTACACTGAATATTAAAGTGTCTATCCAATTTAACAAACAAAAAAGTATTTTATATCATCTGATCACCTAGATATTTCAGTAAATACTCTTGACAATGACCATGTATCAAATTAACTCTAACTTTTCTATTTTTAAAAAAAAATCCAAAACATTAGTATTATAGTTACATATAGTACAGGACAAATGAATAGAATCTTTTCAGCTTTATAGATTTCATTAGAGTACACATATATGCATACACACATTATACACACACATATTCATTACATACTCTAGACTAGAAAATTAAACATTGTAAAAAACACTCCTATGTTCAGTTAGGTCTTCTATATAGTCCCTAATTGTATTATCTAAATAAGATGAGCCAAATTGTGTATTTCTGATGAGAAGTTATCAATATGAAAGGCCATACAACATAATCACCATAGCTGGCAGTAAAAAAAAAAAAATCAGTTATGATATATTTTTTGGTTCTAAGAGTAAGCCTTACATTTCTAAGAGTATCATTTTCCAAGCAGGTTTATCTGTTTCGGAGACCATATGTACTGTGCCAAATCCTTATTTTGTCCCACTTCCCTACATTAAAATGCTGACTTCTGTGATTCCCCATAAATGATACATAAAAATAATCTTATATAGGTAAGTACAATTGCACTAGAGGGCAGGCTTTAAACAATTGTCTCATATCTTTTGGAAGGATTCATATTGATATTAGCTAATTGTAGGAGAACTATAGTTAATCCAACTACTTTTTAAATAAATAACTACCTGTTAAATAAATGTATTTTAACTTCTAAAAAAGTAAACTTTAAAAATCTAAGCTACAAAAATATTTTTTATTTCAAGAAATATTTCAAGCATCTGTTCAAAGAATGATACTTTAATATATACACAATTCATTATACATTGCACTTTAAAATAACGATACTAAATAATTATAAACAATAACATTCCAATTAATATAATTTTCTTTTCAACAAGTAAGATATAAATATAGTCTAAACTATAAAAAAACTGTTCCATGCTCTTTCATCTATCAGCTTCAATTAAATAGAAGGGAATAAACAAATAAAGATGTTCCACAGGTCTAGTGCCTGTGTCAAAGATGGCAAATAAAACATAAATTGATGCAGCTTAGAAAAATGGCTGTTTGCCAAAGAAATCATCAAGCCATAATGTGTTTTTGGCATGACAACGCTATGTAAGCATTTCCACAGAAGAGAGCTCTGTGCACAAGAAAAATAAAGACTGCTATGCTCACTCTGAACAAACCTGTTGGCTCCCTATCCAGCTTGCAGAAATAAGATGCACTGTCATCACCCAAATAGATCTGCAGTTCGAATATATGAATTTCTTATCTGCCACCTAAGCCGGACGAATGCATAGCAGTTGGGGGGGGGGGGGGGAAGGGGAGCAAAAGTGCTGTTCCTCGGACTGCAGGGGATTGGGGGAAGAAAATGGAAACAAGAACGCTAGCGATGGCAAGGGGACAAAAAGAGGTTAAACTCAATTTCACCTTCCCCTTGAAATTGCTGACAATTATAAACAATAAAGGAATTTTAACCCACCACGCGTGCTCTCGGGGACACTACAATTACACGCAAAGAGCCTCCCCATTCCGTCTCTCTCCGAGTCTAGTACATATACGTATTTCCTCGCCTCGCCCATCTACTGCAAAAGGGGAACGCGAGAGGAGTATGTATATTTGTCAGAGATACATGAACCGTATCGATACGATTTCTTCTGGGAGCCTTCGGGAATGACGGCGAGAATCTGGGGAACTCATGTTTTCCCATCCCAATAGCTGCTCGCCCTTTACAGGCACCTGCCCCCGTAGGCCTCAGAAAGAGAAGGCCAAACTGGGTCTGTCTCGTACCCCGCCCTTAGCAACTTACTCTCGCTACTGGTGACGGCGGCAGGCTTCCCTTTTGTCGCGGCCTCGACTTTCTATCCGCCGCTTCCTGCATGGAAAGCGAAGGTTCCACTTCAGCGTTCGCCGTCTACAACCACACCGGATAGAGGAACGCAGACCGGCCTCTTCAGCGAAGAAGCGCCAACCCAGCCACTACAGAGGGCAGCCGATCGCTATGCGTCTCGTGGCCCGCACCCCTTTCCTGTAAGTTCCGAAGACCCTTCGCCCAACGGACTACGCTCGCGCTTCCTCCGTCCCACGGCGGGCGACGAAACGTACTGACAACAACAGCTCGTAGTCCGAGGACGGCAGCGGGAAAGGAAACGCAGGATAAGGAGGGGCCTCGGCAGAGAAAAGGAAATGCGCGTGCGTCCTAGGAGGGAAGCGCCATCCGAGAGTAGCCAATGGGAGAGTTCGATTTCTGCGGCTTGTCTTCCCGCAACTCCGCCGCGTGAGGTAAGTTGCTGATCATAAGCGCGGGGGCTGATATAGTTGGTGCAAATCTGTGACTCCCGACTGTTGAAAAATGCTTCATAAGATAACATCTAGAGTGGCTTAGTTGGTTAATAGCGAAAGGGTTTATTTTCTCCTTCATTGAGCTCTTAATTTTTAATGTCTCCGCATCTCATCAGCAAAGCTCAAGATCATAAACAAAGTTTTAAGGTCACAGTCTATTCAGTGTTGTATACGTACTGAGGAAGTTAAAGATAGACCGGAAACCAGACTGTACGATTATCGGTGAAATGTTAAATTTCAGTGTTCATAGTGAGGGATAGTGTCATCAATGGCAGTTTATTACGGATTAATTAGATACGGTGTGCCAGAGCTTTTTGTTTTTAATAAAATGTGGCAGGAGGCTGGTTGCTGATCCATCCGTTTTAAAACATTTAAATATCTAAAATACTTGTAACTGTAGCATAGTTATATATTAGAATGGTTTTTTTATTTGCTTTTTATATGTTTGTCCAAATATTTTATTTACTTGTTAAGTTTATCCCCACTGCAATAAAGACTCTAAATGGTTTACATAGCAACATAAAAACAATATAATAAAATGTCCATTGAACAATTAAATCAATAACTAAAAATAAAAACAAAACTCTCAACATATATAGACCAATAAATCAGTGGTATCACTCAAATTCCATAGGCTTTTTGAAATATTTTAGTTTTTGCTAACTAATGAGTAGTTTGGAGGTCAAATGAATTTCCAAGAAGAGGCTCAGACGGATCCCATCTGAAAAACAGAACTTGTAGGCTTCCGCCTCTTTTGCTCCTGAAAATGGGAATCACGGGCCTTTCTTCCAGGATATATGGTATATATATATACATGTAGAAGTCGAACTGGGTTGGAGAAGATGGTCCTGCAACTACAACAGTGCCAAACCATGAAGGGTATTGTAGGTTAAAACCAACCCTTTGAATTGCAATCAGAAGCCTATAAGAAAACAATGCAGGACTTGGAGCTACATATGTCAGCCAGCATCTGGGCTGCTTTATTCAAAAATAATTAAAAATATTAAAATTTTAGATATAGCAATTGAAATGGTAATAAATATACTTAAATGTAAAAACATTAAGTTCAACTATATAAAACTTTATTATATGTTCCAGAAGTAAGACTCCAGACATAGGCGTCTAAGAAAGCGACAATACACTGCAATATTTCACCTACCGTTTGTTTTATTCCTCAAAGAAAATTCTGGAAACATAGAGAAAAGACAACAGAGCAATGAGATATTGACATCATGTTGATATCAGATAAAGTAGAAATAAGCAAAGAGCCATTCCTGAGTAACAATATATTGTGAAATAGCTCTGTACCAAGTCCCAAACTGTTCACTTCAGGAGAAAGATATAGAACAGGCAATATGTGAACTTAAGGGTTGATTGATAATAACAAAAGGTACTTGGTGTAGCATACTGCTACTGCTTATTAAAACTTGAAAAAATGTTCATTGCTTGCTTTAATTTCACTGTCTTTTGATTAGCAGGAAGAATATTTTAGTTCTATAATTGCCTTCACCTATAAACAAAGCATCACAAATAAAAATAGAACAATATATTGGATGGATTATTAGGAAACCTGAACTCAGATTGCCCATATAGCCATGAAACTCATTAGAAATCCCTTGTATGAAAGAGGAAAGAAGCATTTCTATTGTCCTGAAAATTAAGGCAAGATAAAACTGCCTTATGACATAGAAATGATGATGTAAAAATCAGCTATGTTTCGTTTATGTTTCCAAAATATGAAATGTTTAAAAAAGCAGATGGGATTAAGGAATAAGGACTCAAAATATGTAACTCATAAACATGTAATTAATTGGAATGCAACATCTAATTTGCTTCTGCTAATAGATGTTCTCTTATCCTCTGGACTTATTCAAAATGCTAGTTATCTTACATGACATTGTTCTGCTAATGAAATATTTTCAATTTTTATTATTTTGGGTTTGTATTGTTGCAGCTAACAGACTATATCTGAAAAATGAGTACGAAGCATATATTGCATAGGCTTGTAACCTTTAATTTGGTTGAGAATCCCAAATATTGTTTCTAATAACATTTGAATTGGAAAGCTCTATATTATTCAAATAAGTAAAGTTGATAGCAACCAATGTTTTCTTTCACCAGAATCTTATTGTCAGAATATTCAAGTTAAGTACTAGAGACAATAGCAGATTGTGAACAGAATAAATATAAACATATAACCAAAAGCCAACATAGGTTTGTCAAAAACAGATCATGCCAGACAAATCTTATTGCATTCTTTGACCAGGTGACAAAATTAGTGAACCAGAGCAATGCTGTGGATATAATTTATTTGGACTTCAGTAAGGCATTTGATAAAGTAGACCACAACCTACTATTTGATGAGATAGAAAAATGTGGGTTAGACAGCATCACCACCAGATGGATTCGTAGCTGGCTTACCGGCCATACTCAGTGTGTGGTTTTCCCTGGAACTGCATTTACATGGAGGGAAGTATGTAGTGGGGTGCCCCAGGGCTCTGTTCTGGACCCAGTGCTCTTCAACATCTTCATCAATGATTTGGATGAGAGGATAGATGGGGAACTTATCAAATTTGCAGACGACACCAAACTGGCACAAATAGCCAACACTCCAGAAGATAGGCTTAAGATACAGAAGTATCTTGACAGACTTGAACATTGGGCGCTATCTAACAAAATGAAATTCAGTGGTGAAAAAAATTAAGGTTCTTCATTTAGGTAAGAAAAACAAATGCACAGGGTGGTACCTTGCTCAACTGTAGTAACTGTGAGAGGGATCTTGGAATTCTAGTGGACAATCGCTTAACTATAAGCCAGCAGTGTGCTGCACTGCCAAAAAAAGCCAACACAGTGTTAGACTGCATTAACAGAGAGATAGAATCAAGATCACATGAAGTGTTACCACTTCATAATGCCTTAGTAAGGCCACACTTGGTATACTGCATCCAGTTTTGGTTGTCACAATGTAAAAAAGATGTTGAGACTCTAGAAAGAGTACAGAGAAGAGCAACAAAGATAATTAGGGGTTGTTGTTGTTAATTGCGAAGTCGTGTCCGGCCCATCGCGACCCCATGGACAACATTCCTCCAGGTCTTCCTGTCCTCTACCATCTTCTGGAGTCCATTTAAGTTCACACCTACTGCTTCAGTGACTCCATCCAGCCATCTCAGTCTCTGTCGTCCCCTTCTTCTATTGCCCTCAATCTTTCCCAGCATTAGGCCCTTTTCCAGTGAGTCCTTCCTTCTCATTAGGTGGCCAAAGTATTTGAGTTTCAACTTCAGGATCTGGCCTTCTAAAGAGCAGTCAGGGTTGATCTCTTCTAGGACTGACCGGTTTGAACGCCTTGCAGTCCAAGGGACTCGCAGGCGTCTTCTCCAGCACCATAGTTCAAAGCCTCAATTCTTTGGCGCTCAGCCTTTCTTATGGTCCAACTTTCACAGCCATACATTGCAACTGGAAAACCATGGCCTGGACTATACGCACTTTTGTTGGCAGGGTGATGTCTCTGCTTTTTAGTATGCTGTCTAGATTTGCCATAGCTTTCCTCCCCAGGAGCAAGCGTCTTTTAATTTCTTGGCTGCAGTCCCCATCTGAGGTGATCTTGGAGCCCAGAAAAATAAAATCTGTCACTACCTCCATTTCTTCCCCATCTATTTGCCAGGAATTGAGAGGGCCGGATGCCATGATTTTGGTTTTCTTAATGTTGAGTTTCAAGCCAACTTTTGCACTCTCCTTCTTCACCCGCATCAAGAGGCTCTTTAGTTCCTCTTCACTTTCTGCCATTAGAGTGGTATCATCTGCATATCTTAGGTTGTTGATATTTCTCCCGGCAATTTTAATTCCAACTTTTGATTCATCTAGCCCTGCCTTTCTCATGATGTGCTCTGCATATAAGTTAAATAGGCAGGGCGACAGTATACAGCCTTGCCGGACTCCTTTTCCAATTTTGAACCAATCAGTGGTTCCGTGTCCAGTTCTCACTGTTGCTTCTTGACCTGCATATAGGTTTCTCAAGAGACAAATGAGATGGTCTGGTACTCCCATCTCTTTAAGAACTTGCCACAATTTGTTGTGATCCACACAATCAAAGGCTTTTGCATAGTCAATGAAGCAGAAGTAGATGTTTTTCTGGAACTCCCTAGCTTTCTCCATGATCCAGCGTATGTTGGCAATTTGATCTCTAGTTCCTCTGCCTCTTCGAAATCCTGCCTGTACTTCTGGTAGTTCTCGATCCACATACTGCTGGAGTCTAGCTTGTAGGATTTTAAGCATAACTTTACTAGCATGTGAAATGAGTGCAATGGTGCGATAGTTTGAACATTCTTTGGCATTGCCTTTCTTTGGAATTGGAATGTAAACTGACCTTTTCCAATCCTGTGGCCACTGTTGAGTTTTCCAAATTTGCTGGCAAATTGAGTGTAGCACTTTTACTGCATCGTCTTTTAAGATTTTGAATAGCTCAGCTGGAATACTGTCACCTCCACTAGCTTTGTTGTTGCTCAGATTTTCTAAGGCCCATTTCACTTCACATTCTAGGATGTCTGGTTCGAGGTCAGTGACCATCTCATTGTGGTTATCTGGGATGTTAAGCTCATTCTTGTATAGTTCTTCTGTGTAGTTTTGCCATCTCTTCTTAATCTCTTCTGCCTCTGTTAGGTCTCTGCCATTTTGGTCCCTTATCATGCCCATCTTTGCATGAAACATTCCCTTCATATCTCCAATTTTCTTGAAGAGATCTTGGGTCCTCCCTATTCTGTTGTTTTCTTCTATTTCTTTGCACTGTTCATTTAAGAAGTCATTCTTATCTCTTCTAGCTACTCTCTGGAATTCTGCATTCAATTGGGTGTATCTTTCTCTTTCTCCTTTGCCTTTCGCTTCCCTTTTTTCCTCAGCTATTTGCAAAGCTTCCTCAGACAGCCATTTTGCTTTCTTGCATTTCT